TATCTGACAATGTCCAGACCGAATCGCTGCGTGAGCTTCTAGGCTTTAGCTTTTTATACATAACCAATGACTCTAGTCAATGTGCAAATAACTGTCCCACCACAAATGACGCGAAGAAAAAACCTCTCTTTATTAATAAACTGTCTAAATTGATACAAAAGGGCCGGTCCCGGCGGTATTAACTTAGACAAGTTCTACTGTAGAATGGTTTTATAGAAGTCAGTTAACAACTGGGAGATGGCGCTGAAGCATTGTTCGCAACCTATAGGACGCGTTGCTTATTAGGCCTGAGAATTAAAGCTTGTTGCGTTCAATCAGTGCAAGAGAACGCGTGTTTATGGCAGTTCATGGGAGTATCAGGTGTTATAGCATACGATACTGCTCTCTCCTGTATTTTTTTGAATCTATGGACTTCAAACTTCTTGTGTTTGTTTTGTTTTTTAAAGAACCTAGCACTAATGTGGTCTCTTTGTGTCCCTCGTCACGTAAATTTGCATCCTAGTCATGACAAGCATTCGTAGTAATCAAGATTTAACTTCTTGGGTTGTGCTTGTGTGGATATACTCACATTTTTCAGCACTTTTTTACTACAGTGGTTCAGGACGAGTTGTGCTTGTTGATAGTGAGGCAAGAAAGCAGGCGGCAGTCTCTGGCCTCCCAGAGCCCAGGACTGACGTGGATTTTGATCTTGAAAAAATAAGTAAGACTAAAATTTTTTATGTGATATTCTCCATATTTTGGATTATCCATATTAGGGTGAAGATTTTGTTTGTTCAAAAGGGAGATCATACTATAGGAGATCAAGCAATAGGTTGTGTTCAACATTTTTTAGGTTTTAGTAAAGACTTGGCATATTATGTGGTTTTACTCTATACCACTTCTTTGCTCCTACTCTGAAGCTTTGAGCTATAGGTTTTTTTGCTTACTCTACATTACTCATTGGATTTAAATGTGCAGTCGCTTGGATCCTTGGACATGAGAATCTATGCAAAAAGAGTTGGGTAGGGCGGGAGTCTTCAAGGTTTGTTTTTTATTTTTCTTGGATGTATGCTGCTTTGAGTATTTTACTCTTTTCCCATGACTCTACTACTTGGATAATTTTGGATTTTCTCAATTCTGTCTTCAACAACTTTGTCAGAATGCTGATGCTGAATTGTGTTGTCTACGACAACACAATTCTTGAAGGTTGGGACTGATCTTGTTTGCCTTCGTTGTTGCATCATGCGTAGTCACTTGCTTCTTGACCATGTTCTCCTCCTCGACTCCAAAGTGCTCAAATAGTTAAAATGAAGTTTCTTCTGAAGCTACATGATTCTCGTTTTGCATGTTAGCTTGTTGGTTAGATCTTCTTCATTTTTTGCATACTCGATGCCTTTGTGGACGCTTTGTGTTATTGGGTTTTTTCCTCGCATTCGCCTAGGCTACTTCAAAGAAGAAAAAGTAAAGAAAAACTAATATGACATTTCAAATATGATTTTTTTGTCCAAAATTTTAAGTGACTAGCTTGTGCATATCTTTGTATTTCTTTTTTTTGCCTAGTAGCCGCCTTTGTATGTCTGAAACCTGCTTAGGAGGTCAGTTGTATCAGTATATATCTCTAAGTGTTTTAGTTGCCGCCTCTAGCCGCCGAAGTCCTTCGCTACGTGTGTATGGGGGTTTTTACTGCCAAAGTGTTGTGTGCAAGGAGGAATGGCATTGCCAAAAGCTTGTGGATGACTAAAACACGGGTGTACATGACGGAATCGTTCCTCATGGAAGTCGACAACCTAGCCTAGCCAACTACATGTACTTATAGAGCTTATTAATCAATTTCTCCATGATGTTTTCATACTCATTAATAAAGTCATTTTTATGTCATCATTTGACTTCAAACTATCTAGTAATATCTTGCTATTCTCTTTAAGCTTTCAAAGGCATCGTTTCGAAAACAAATACTCCTTCCGCTTAGACTCCGGCGATTTTGATGAGCTCTCGTCCGCTTTTTTGCTCAATTGTGTTTTTCCTCAAAGTGACAATGCACTTCACTTCATCTTCATACACAACAATGGCATGAGGATGTGACACAACATTTGTCATGCCAAATGTAAACTCGTTCATCATGTGATACAATTGGTATTTCTCCAAACGTTGTGATACGAAATTCAAATTCATCGTCTTGTATTCTTTATAATTGTTAAAGGATTGTGTTTCACTTCTTACTATATGATTCACTATACTTAAAAAAATTGGTACACATTGACACAAGCTTTGTGTGAAGCGGTTATTAGTTATTCACATTTGAACACAACACGGAAGCATGAAAGTATATTTGAAAACAACAACAAATATAACCTTCATTTCCAAAAAACCAAACAATAAATCAAATTAAGCAAGTAATCCAAGTCGTCAGTGCAGTCTCAAATGCAGCATAAAAAGCCATTATCCTAGTTTCAAAAAAAGTAAACTAGCCGTAATTAAACGCAACTGATAGTTATCCAACATCTTGCAGTCACAAGAAAAAATAGTTTGAGAAATTTGTGTTGGGCAGTAGAATATAAAACAGAACTGACTGTAATCCAACATCTTATTTAAAAAAAAAAACAGTTTGAAATATATGTATTGGGCGACAGATTCTAAAACGCAACTAATTGTAATACAATCGCTTGCAGTCATCAAAAATAATTGTTGAAGAAATTTGGGTTAGGTAGCAGACTTTGTTGTGTAGTTGAATTCAAAAAATACAATTACAACAATTGCGCTAGTGAGAGTAACCTGTGAGGTCCACAAAAGCATTGGGACTCTTCTGGCTTGTAGTTAATAATTGCATTAGTATGAGTAACTGCATGAAAAATTGTGTACGAGAAACAACATTTCAACATTCGGATGTGAAAAATCTCTGAAAAATGACGCAGTTTGAATAATACTATCTTGTGGATGGAATTTTGATTCCATTGTTGGAGTATTGGCAACGGATGCATGATTAGCACAAGCATCACCGACATGCAGTGGAGATCCGTGTAAATCCATGATTATCAAGCACACTAACAATACAAAATCTTGAACATTTGCAAGTATATAGGAATACATAAAAATAATAAATATATAAACCAAATCTTAAATCCAAAAATAAATAAATAAATAAAAGGTGCAAAAATAATCAACATGAACTTAAGAGGAGGGAGTATTTTGTCAAATTGCAATGCGGTGTGAGGAAGTAATCCGTGGAAGAGGGTGACATTCAAGTGTAATTTTCTCTAAACTCTAGTGATCAATATAAGAAAGAATAGAAACATTGTTAATAATTGTATCTTTGATGTTTATGTTTTATCTTCAAATGAAATTTTATGTAAACTCTAGTGTTACAATGAGATCTATTTAAAAATGAGTAAAACTATTGTTGATAAATTTCATTTTTCAAAATTTATGTTTTCATCTTTGAGTGAGTTTCTCTTCAAGTCATAATGTTACAATAAAATTTATATGAGTGAGAATATAACAATTGCTAGTATCTCTCATATTTAGAATTAATGTTTTCACTTTCAAGTGAATTTCACTGTCTACTATAGTGTTATAATAAAATTTGTGTGAGAGATAGTATAATCATTATTGGTATCTCTTATCTTTAGAGTTTATATTTTCATTTTCAAATGAATTGATTTTTAAACCTTACTATCAAACATAAATATTTTTATAACATTATTAAGCAATAAGTGAATCTAACTTAATAATGAAGATGTCAATATATCAATGCACAAAAACAACCGATAGATGAGTATCATCAATGAAATTATCATACACAAAAAAGTTCATCATATATTGAAAAATACTTTAATATTGTCACATATAGCTTTTGTGAACTCTTAATCATTATGATAAATCAATTAAGTTCATGAATTGAATCATAAGTTAACATGATGAAATATTTAACAAAGAAATATGAACATTTGTTTAAATTACTATATTGATAATATATATATATTACATTGATACATTTATTTTGGAATTCTAAATTATAATAAAAAATACAATAAATATGTTTATATTATTAATTAATCAATTTATAAAATAATTCAAACAGTGAATAATATAAAAATATTAATTTCTATTAAAGATACTTATTGTTGTTTGCTTCTTACATTTGTATCATCTTTCAAGTTTTAGTAACTTCTTTGTCTAAGATAATTATGATTATTCACATCATTGAGTTTGGAATTTTTTTTGGAGTATTATAAATTTTTTTATTTTTTTCATAATTCATTTTAATAATTTTAGCAACAGGTTTGTGTGCAATGTTTTTATTATTCACACCAACTATATAATACATGTAGGTTATAATATATGTTTCAAATTATGCTAAATTTTTCATATATATATATATATATACACATATACATATTCTTGTACTGTCAAAACTTCACATTTCTTAGCAAATGAAGCTATTCCAGTCAACTACTCACACACAAAGTAGTCCGCAACTCTCTCTATATCCAAGTAAAAACTTTACTAGAGGGTTTGTGTAACCGTTGATTGTAAATACGAGGTCTTAGTACCTTAGTTCTTAAAATCGTAATTTCTATGGCATCATTTTCACCCTTATACACAATGAGTCTTTATTAATTACAATAGTAAATTACTATATTAAGTAATTCTCTCTATGTTATGTATCTAATGACAGTTATAGACTTGAATACTTATCATATTGAAATTAATCTCTGTATAAATATTTTGATTTACATTTTATAATCATACATGTACTATGAAATTATTAAAATCTGAGAGTGAATGTTATTGAAATCAAAATATATATAAAAAACTTGAAATTGATATTGCATGTATTTTTCAAAAATATTGTCATGCGGGTTATTGTCGGTTCATTCCTGATCCGGAAATCGATCTTGTTATGAACAGAGGGCAAAATTAATACACTGCTCAAGTGATGCGTAAAGAGTAGTAAGATAATTGACTTTCTGACAACGCTTTAATGCAACCACTCGTGCTGGATCGTTACTTGGAGCTTGCATTGATCCCGTTACATGTCGTAAAGCCGGAATTTCACGGTACGCTGGACATTTTGTCATTCATTTTGCACGGTACGCTGGACATTTGTCTAACTACTACGGTACCTTCGGAAGACCTGGATGCTTCGACATATGAGCGTGACTGTGAGGAATCTCTGCGGAAACGGATGTGAAAGATCACAGTGAATCGCACCGAATCGAATGTCAAAGACTTCGAGGGAAGCAAAGGCCGAGGGTTACGTCTTGTTTCGATCCCGTGGGGTCTGTCAAATGTCGGGAGGAAACTCCATCATGGGGTTGACGAGCGCGTTCTGATGGTTATGTTTACATGACAGCGCTGAAGGCATAAGATAAGATTGCATCGGTAAGCATTGGAGGATCAGGAAGGGACGGAGGTATGGCGGCGAATTTCTGGGCTTCTTCTCACTGGTGCGTTGCGTGCTTGCCTCTGAAACTCGACAGTTCGCAAGAAGTAGCATGGGAGCCACTTCATGAGGTCTTAAGCCGAAGCTGAACTCTTGATCAAGTGATCTTAAGTTTTATATTTGGTACAATTTTGACAAATCCGCTTGAACATCAGGGGAACTCTGTCTGCCGGGGCCTATCGCTAGCAAGAAGCTCCCTGTTCTCGTGCTTTCCTACTTGCAGTCGTCAACCTTTTTTCCTCGAGCTGTTACCACACTCTGATACGAGACTGGACCGAAGAAACATCTTTGATCATCTAGTTTCATTATTAAGTTCACCGTTTCCATAAGAAGAGATCGCACCACCATAATCTTTCGTTCATATTGTAAACTTTCAAGTTTTCTCTTCAGAAGAGTATAATGAACTCATATGGTCCGAGAACCTTCTGCAACCTAAATATGCCATGGAAGGAGTCCTGAATTATTCATCTGATTATAAAATGTCTGCTTCAAAACCGCAGCAAGAAACTCCTGGACTCAGATGAGGTGGGACACGTGTTACCTGCCGACCAGGAGCGTGGATTAACAGCAGAGGATGTGAAATTGATAAAAATTTACTTATCTTCCTGTGAGTATTCACTCGTGGTCTGAATTTCCCTTTCCCACAAATTCAGGTCTGCTTTAGCTTCAAGAAAAATCACTTCATCAATCTCACTTCGACAAGTTGTGCTTGCAGATATAAAAAATCTAGCTGGACATCTGAAAGTCAGACAACGGTGAGTGTGAGGAGTTGTATATCTTATAACCAAAGCTAGCGTTTCATCTGGCATGACTTCTGCCTTCTATGTTACTATTCACCACCTTGTTGTTTGTCTATGTAGGAACTGGTGAGTCGTTGATGCAGGTTATAACTCTAGCTACACACTCAAGAACTTCCTTTTGCACTGTGCCCACTGGTCCTGCCTAACAAATTTTCTGTAAAAATTTCACCGAGGTTTTATCAACGAAGTTGTTGTGGGAGGCACATCACAATCGATTTGATTGTATATACGTTTGAAACATGAACTTGTTGGTCGTGCAGAGTTGTGGCGACTGCCATCGCTTACTTCAGACGTATATATACCAGGTAGCTTGACACTCTTGCTCTTACAGGTCAAAACATATCCCAGGCCTGATGTCGTTTGACCCTTTTCTGATATCTGTGGTTGGCAAACCCACATTCGTTTCGCATTGCACATTACTGCTCAAGTACCGATACCTACAGTTTGCATTTTTCTATGTTCATCTTGTTTGTGTATTCATCATTCCTGTTTGCGTTTGCTAAGTCACAGCGAAGCACTCATTTCCCTACTTAATTCACACAGCATTATGACTTTCGATAATTTTTTATTGTGATTCTGTGTCCTCCTAATATATTGATCTGTATACTTTGGTCTTCGTATCAATGTTCAATAGATAACGCATATCAATTTTTCAAGTTGGAGTATATGTTTCGAGCAAAATCGTCAGCGACTTTGATCAGGAGCATATGAAAATTTTGCAGGAAGAGTTTTACGGAATTCGATCCACGTTTAGTAGCTCCAACTTGTTTGTATTTAGCATCAAAAGCAGAGGAAAGTACAGTAGCAGCTAAGCTACTCGTGTTTTACATGAAAAAAATTCGTAAGTAGTTCTGTCACTGCTCACCAAGTTTACTTTTATTTAATCACTATCTTTTATCATCACCTGTAACTTCTGTTTGCAGGTAGCTGAAAGTACATTAGAGGGAAGATTGTAGTACCCAGTATACTCAATCTTATATTCTTGTTCTTCCTTTTCCAGCACCAGAAGACAAGGGGTTTCGATATGAGATCAAGGACGTTCTGGAAATGGAGATGCGGCTTCTGGAAGCACTAGATTACTATCTTGTAATATATCATCCTTATCGGCCACTTATCCAGTAAGTTTTGTGTGCGACTTGCTTCATTTAAACAGAGTTGCATTATTCGTGGAGAACTTCAGATAACATTCTACCGCTTCTTACCTCCTGCCACTTGTTTCTCGATGTTGGGCTTTCTTGGATCATTTAATTTCTTTTCTACGTTTCAGGCTCTTACAAGATGCTGGATTAAGCGACATAATCGTAACTGTTTGGTAAGTTTTTTCTAGATATTCAATGGAAAAAAAAAATCTCATGAAGATTTCAGTCTCGAGTTGAGCAAGATCACAACTAGTCACAAAGAAAAAATATCTATAAATTCATCATAGCATAGAAGAGTTGGGACACAATTGAGTTACCTTCTAGGTTGCATGCGCTGATTCTTTCAATTTCTATATGTAATGATTTCCTAGAAGTACTTTGCAGATCCTAATTAGCTGACTGAATTGAAATTGCTCATGACGTTGCAATCACAGGTCCATTGTTAATGACTCCTACCGAACAGACCTTATCTTGATGCACCCGCCTTTTATGATAGCACTTGCCTGTATATATATCGGAAGTGTAATTAAAGATAAGGAGACACGAACATGGTTTGAGGAGTTGAGAGTTGATATGAATGTGGTATGCATCACGAACAACCACTTTCCCGTGTCTTTGTTCCCTTCTAGTGTGAGATCAAGTAAAGTGCAGTAGACATGTATGCTCGTCTTCAGGTTATGAATATTAGTCCCCGATGCATTGCCATACTGCAGCAGGAATCAATGACGATGGGTTCTACATTAATTAATAGATCTCACCTCTTTCGAGGTATAGCTTCATTTAGAAATCAATTACATCAGTGATAATCTTCAATGCGATGTTAGCAGAGATTCATTCCTGTAAAGTATCCAAATGTTTGAGAGCAGTACTGCCTGATTCTTGAGTTATCTGTGCTCTCTAGAGTACATGCTAAACATTTGGTCATCTTCAGTCTTGGTTTGACGTTCTGTGACTGTATTCCTATTGTGCAGATAAAGAATATTGCTATGGAAATTTTAGACTTTTATGAGAACTACAGAAACATCCCCGAGGAGCGTCTCAATGCTGCAATGGCAAAGCTTCCACAAAGGTCCTGAGTGTGGTCAGTTTTAGACTTCTTGCCGTCATGAAAGTGGAGAAGATATTGCAGTTGATATGATTATCTTCTGATGAAACCACTTTTCATGTTTAACAAGAACTAATCTGAGAGGAGCTGCTCGCGTTAGGGTATTATTAACTTCTGAGTTGAAGACACATGGTGAGAGCATTGGTCATGCCTAAGTACGTGGTGCTTTTGCTGTCATTTTTTTTTGGTTGGTTACGTGTCACTCATCTGGTTTGACTGCTGAAAGATTTTTCTTTCTTTGTGTTTGACTGCACTTTTCTTCCTTCACTAGCTGCAGTTGATGCTAAGGATATGTCGTTTCTTACCTCCTCACGTTGGAAGGCATCATATGGCCGGCTGCAAGACGCATTAGCTCTTATTCATCTGAACACCGAATCTGTGAGATTTATTGAGTCATAGGATGCTCATGTTTTAATATTACGTACTCAAAGCTGGTCCTACGGTTTATCTTTCAGACAATTTATGCATGACATTGTTTCCAATTTTTCTTGCATTGTAAGCTGGCCAATATTTAGTCAGATTATTCAGTAGGTAACTTCATTACTCTTGCTTACTATGGCTTTTTTGGGTATGAAATCTTTACACGGTTGACGTTGTTACCAGCTAATATTCTTCGGATAGTGCATGCTGTACAATCCTTATGTTGGTATGACCTAAGTAAGTTAGGTTGTCGTCGCGTATTGATGTGGAGATGAAGAAGTTGATGTGCGTGGATATTTTAATTGCCGTTGACTCAGAGCTCTTGTTTCATGTGTTACTGTGGTTGAACAAAGCTTTGAAAATCCAAATCAACTCCCGTCTAATACTAGTCTTTGACAAACTTTTTTCTTAACCTAGAAGTACGTTTCGGTGGACTCTGTTGCATTTTATCTGAAGCATAATATGCTGACAGAAAAGCTTTCGTCTTTCTGGACCAGCTATGTGAATGCCGTTGGGGATTAAAGTTCTACATGTCTCAAGCAGAACAAGTCCCCGATGATTGTCTTTCAGCACAAAATGGGAACTATACCAACAGTCAATGGGTTTAGTTCAGGTCTACACATACTTGGAACATGATTGTGGCGGTTTGGGACGAAATCACTATCAGCTTTGGAGTTGTCATCTTCGGAGGATCGTTTTCAGTGTAAGTGCAGAGGAGTTCGTCATCTTCATCGTGGCATTCTAGCTTGCACTCGCTTCCATGTTGAATCCTTCACAAGAATGTTCACAATTGTTCTATTGACATCTACCTCTTACTATTTGAGCTCTCAATGTATCAATTAACTAAGCCACTCATTTTCGTTGATTTTATTGGAGAGTAAGGTTATGGTATAATGCTGATTTTCAGATGAATTTTGGAAAGTTCTCTATGTCAAACTACTGTAAAAGCTTGACTTTGCTTAAGTCAAAGTTTGCCCTGCACATTTGATGATTGCTTATCATTCATGTGTCATTTTTTATCACATTTTGGAATGGAACATACAAGCTGTAGACGGAGTTACGGAGACTTGAATCATCAACATGCTATGCAAACCATTCCGACTAGACTTTGCAATGCCGTAAGATATGGATTTTCTCTTTGGTCATCCTACAAGATTGAGATTTATGAGTTCAGCCTTTTCATTATCGCCAAAGTTCAGCAAATTACCGGCTGAAAATTAGAAAATACGCCAGCATGCATTTCAAACTTGTTTTTCTTTGATTTTGTGTTGGTGCAGCTTAAACCGCAGGGAATATATTGCATATTGCCAATGAGTATCTAGAAAGATCAGGTTGTCATGTGATATAAGATACTGCACTAGTCTTTGGATTTCTGTTTGAAACGATATCAACGTCAACCAATCTTTTGGAGGGACAAAGAAGAGTAGAAGAAGCCCGTACTTATCCGGCTGTACGAATTACATCGTTTGTTTTTGTCCATGTTTAGAGCAACCGAGGTTAAGGAATTCTGAGGGGAAACCAAAAGTGACACGAGTAGCAACGTTCTATCTTACATGTGTACTCCATCCACAAATGGACACGGATTGTTCTCTTGTTGGAAAGAGCTTTTTCAAAACTCGGTTTCTTTTCATGATAATATCTACATTGTTTTAAAGGCAATGAAGTCTGAAGAAGAGTCTCAACTCCTTCACTTGAAAACGACCGTAGCTTGCTTATTTATATGTAGAGTCAGTGAATGAATGGTTCTTGATGGAATCAATATTTTTATATCCCAGGCGCCTGAAGCCAGGAAGCCTGAAGGAAAGAAAATTTTGATCAGATACATCACCAAGTGCGCATGTGGAGGTTACAGATGAACTCGCAAGAGGAACATAGCCGCAATGAATAAAGAAGTGCACATCTACAAAGTGGAAGTGTCCTGTTGACCAAAACAACAGTTTCATTGCTAAGAATGCTCTTTACACGTATGTAAAATGGTTGTACACGCAATGTACAATGATTGATGTAGTATTGAGCTAAAAAATTCGCCGGTAAGATTGACTTCTCCTTGTGTCCAGCCAACTTTCAAGCAATGTGTATTCCGATCAAGCATTCTTTCACTTAACTTTAATTATTCTCTAATCAATGGCCAAGCATTTTTTCTTCCTGACTGTAGCGTGCAGCTCCATTTCTTTCACTAAAATCTTACTCATCTTGCAGTCTCTATCAACGATTAATAAATTCTCCATTAATTTATTCCCCGATACAAATCAATCATTCTAATTAAAGAAAATTTTTATCTTTCTTTTTGGAATTCTTTTCCTGAAAAAGCTCCATGTCTTCCTGAAAGGCAGCAAAATTTGATCAGAAGGTATACATCGATTTGCAAATTGTACTTGAATGTTTCCATTAAACTGCTACAACATCTACCAAGCCCACTCACCATGTAAAGTAATATAATAGAAAATAATGTATAATGTATTGTAATAAGAAAAGAATGTATTAGAATGTATTCCACGAAGGATGGGTTGATACGTTTCTCCGGTGGAAGAACTAGCATCCCACTTTATCGGAACTGTGGCCCAATGACGAACGAGCATTCCCGTGATACCCTGATTCTCTCCCTAAACTCAAACAACGCTTAATTCGCAGTTGCAAGACACACTGCAGTGGCTATGGAAGCCGAAGCAGTGAGACCATTGAAAGAAGGGTTGCAGTCGCCCATTGGACGTGCCACCGGCTCTCCAAGTCCAGTTCCAAGGCCGAGGAAAAGGTCTAGCCGGTAACGAACTGATCAAGCAAAGAACTGGCTCTGGAAACGGAAACGAACAATTTCAACGGCAGGGAAATCACGAGGCCCGAGCTACGTCCGGAGATTGCCGTCCGGCGACAGCGAGCGTTAGTCCCGGCGTATGAGCATGAATCATGATGCTCGGATTAACTTCTGGCTTCGAGGATGTTCTTCTTTTCCTGGCCCTGTTTGATGGAGTGAGTTCGGTGTGACGGATCGTTTCTGTTCGTAGGGTGTGCGGAAGTCGCGGCCCCTCGACGGAGTGTTTTGGTTCAAGAATGTGAACCTTGTGAAGATCTATTCGTTCGTATTTGCTGCCCAAGTAAGAATCATATTATCATAGCCAAGGGACCGCACATTCGATCACGTCCAACAAAGCACCTTTTGCTTCGCGTGAATATCCTCGAAACATAATGTGTAGTTACATGTCAGCTGGAGTTCTCAAACTGCGTGGAATGAATTTATTAAGTATTACCGTAAGCTGTCGATTGTAAGGTTTCTCTAATTCTCAATCTAGTACAATTAGCTGCTTTGAAACTGAAACACCCGAATGTCGCCCAGCATCCAAGCGGTCGACTGGTAGCAAGATGAAGATTGAAGAAGTGGAAGATGAGCCTCTGCACAGTGACAAGGAGTTGGAAGCTGCCATGAAGTTACTACAGAGTTACGAGAAAGCACGGAGTGAAGGAGTTGCCCCAAAAAATTCAGAATTGGAGGTGCACGGGACTTTGCAGTCTAACTCTAGAACCGGATCTAAATTTCGCATTTTCAGCGTAGGAACTTTGTCAATATCAAGAGAAGAGGAGGTACAGATATGTAATCCTTTGAAGGGGCGACGTGTCATGGGTTAATGCATTTCTATGCGGTCATGCTGGCAGGCCTTGCTGGATGCGATGAAACAACAGCACGACCCTTCCACTGGAAACATCACATTGCCCAAATTCGCAACCGATCGAGCCCAGAGCGAGACCATAGTTCCGAAGCCGTTCTTTGTCATCAAAAGCCTGACCGTTCAAGGCGAAAAGATTTTTATCAACATATGCGGGTCTCCGAAGGTACGAAATTGCCAGGGCAAATTGCCACGCAATGATTCTTGCTCAACTCTGAGCACTCGCGACTGGCAAAGTAGTTGCTCTCCTTGCACTTTTCCTTGTTGATGGTTCTGATCACAAGATTCCGTCCCCCGCCTTTGACCTAACTTAAGGAGCGAGTAAAGCTCATGTCATTTTCGTGATTCGAATTTCGAGTTTCCCACCACTTCCTGAGGGAACCTTCGCTCGGAGCATTTTGTTGCAACATGCTTCGACCAGTAGAGTCTGCATTTGCTGCTAAGCAGGTTCCTGTTGTTTTGAGAGGAGCAGATTCCGGCACCAGACGAGTGGCAAGAAGGGGTACCTGCCGAAGTAGAAGAAGCAGCAAAGGCGAGCAACGAGACTGGAAGCTTGTTAGACATTCCCAACGTTCGCTTCCCTGTTAGCTGCTCGGATCCTGTGACCTCTACCGACCATGGTGATGCGCCCGTCCTTGTCACCGAGCCATCTAAACCCTAAAGCCATAACGTTTTACGTTGGAAATTAAGGAGGACCCCAGAGATCTAACGAGGGTGTCTACTGTCGAGCCTTCAACCTGAAATTGCAAAATTTGTGTTTAGGGGGCCCAGTAGAGAAGAAAGAAGGCACTTTTGTACTGCTGTCATTGTTCATCCAGGTCGAGGTCCAATTGGCTTCGCAAACAGTTCACTGCAGAGAAAAACATTTACCTCAATTAAGAAACTTACATCCTCTACGGAAAGGAATTCTTCCCATCTGAAGTGCGTCAAAACGAGAACAAAGAAATTCGGTGTTCGAGCACCACGCCCTTGTAATTTATCGACAGTGATCAGTAGGAGGTTTTGTTTGTCTCCTGGAACTTTGGAACTCCTTAACTCCTGGAACTTAGATACAGCTCTTTGCTCAAAGGGTTGTTTCTGTCGTTTACAATTTTTTCCGCAGGTGGGAAAGCATGCCGTGTCTTCGACATGGTATACAACTCTGCGATCCTCGAATTCACGATGACGAATAAGAAGATGAAACTCTTTCTGATTGAGATGGCAACGACCTGGATATCGCAGAAGTACAGCCTCGAGCTGAGTTCTGGTAAAGCAGACTCAATGTAATGACTTCATATAGGACCCGAGAAATCTTCTAACCAGAGGCTTAGATGCAAGTTTCGGTTCATGCTAGTGCAATTTAGGGGCCGGTTAAGGCAAAGACTGCTCAATGTTGGAGTGGTCAGACTAAAGTTAACCTACAGCAAGCCATCAAAGATGAATTGTGTTCGTTTCTGACCTACCATGTATACGTAAACCGTGTGTAGATACTGCATACATGTAAGTCCTTTTCGGAAGTAGGAGCTGTTCTGAAATACGCACATGCACTGTTTTCGCGGAGATCTATTTCTGCAGACTTTAAGCTTCCACATATGAAATACAAAGGAGAAGATGTAGCTCGTCAGCAGATCCGAGCAACATCAACAGCTCCACTTGTTTCAGAAGTGCCATGTGATTCTAGTGAGTAACTGTTTCGCTATTTCGTTGAAGCCACAGACTTTCCTTGCCTTGATAGACGAGACTTTCGAGACAACTATTCACCAGTCCTCCTAATGCCTTCTTTTTCAAGTGCTTTATGTTTTCACTGTTCTCCTTGGGCGCAGATTTGGAGCCTTCATTTGCTTTGCTCACAAAACCAATAACCTCGAAGTCTCAAGCACCAAGAGCAAACGAGAAGTCCACACCCCGTTCTTCTATAATGTCAGCGGATTTGTCCCCACAAGCAGCTTCAAGTCATACATCTTGTAAGCCTCTAGAAGATATTTCTGAACCAAGTTGTGACCAGCGGCCACGAGGTGGTGTCACTTCAACCGTTTCACCGGAATCCGAGCAGTCAGTAATGACCCTGCCGTCTGCTCAGGCACCCCCATCACGAACGAACTCCTTGTCCTTGAGAAGCTCATTGAGCCCACCAGATGCTATGCCAACGAACAGGAACGGTGAAAGAAAGCTGGCAGACTTGCTGCAGTTTCCTGTCGCTAATAAACATGTCGGACCACCTCTGATTGAGATGGCTTACAGTTCGCGACCTGCAGATGCAGTATTCGTGTTGATATCTTTTCCTCAGGTTTGCTCCTCTCTTCAACTGAATCTCTTCATGACGACCTTCATGTAAACTGCACACATGCTTGCATTTCACTGCTTCCTTACAAACGTAGAGCTTAAATCCTTAAGAGCTGTGACCGGCTAAACACCGAGCATCTGGGAGGACTTGAACTGCAGCGAGAACTCGAGGACTTGGAGGTCTTCGCGACTCACACTCAACTTCATATAAGAAAACAATGTGAAGAGCCAATTCAGGTGAGCCTTCTGTTGCAAACTGTCAACACTAATAAGAGGTTATCCTTTGGTCCTATTTCAAACCAGAAATGGTCTCTCGGTGGCTTGTCGATCATTTAACATGGATTTGAGTCATTTTTTCAGAGCAAAGAATAGAATCTATTTGGACGGTATCATTCACCTCAGACTTTGTCGAAAAAGTGTACCCTCCTTTTCGCGTCAAGAAACATGTGTGGAAGACATTTATATCATCATTCCAAACAAGATGGGCTTGGAAGTGTGACATGTGCAACTTGATGCCTGCCATGTTTGCTCGTATTTGGAGTGATGCTGCTTCGTCAATATGAGAACGCGTTTGTGTTAGTGTTCATGAGGGACTGTTAGTGTTCATGAGGGACTGCCAGGAATAGACTTCACGTTGCAAAATGGAGATCTGATTTGTCTCTGAAAGTGTGCAGATTTTGCTGCCATTCTGCTCTGAGCTTGAAGCGGCAGATGCATCCTATGAAATTTCAACAGGACTTTTAAGTATAAAGCTTCCTTATCTACCCTACGGCAAAGCCTTGGCTGTGAGACGTCATTCCCCTTCACTCCTCATTTCATTTGGAACTTTGTGCCGAAAGCCATGCTTTGTGGACATGAATCGGGCATTCTGAATCTTGCACAAGCGACCTTTTGAGGAATTCGCAATTTCTTGCTGTTCCATGAGTTGAAGTGTTTAACATGATGAACATCCCGCAGAAATAGACGCAAGCAGATCAAGTATCCGTACCCTTGCCACAATTTAATCAATTTGTTAGAACTGACTCGCTTCTCTGAATTGAAGGATGATCGAGGAGCAACTTGAGATTAAATTGTTCAAGGTGAGCCAACTTCAGATCCTCGTTGTCATAAAAAACGCTGGAGTCTGGCTGTCCAGATACTCCCATCCGTCTAGACTCCAAGTTGATGAACATTGTCTTCATGGAACGCTGGATGTCAGGAACATGCTCCTCGATCATCACTATAATAGTCGATATCATCAATCACTAGGATTGGTCAAAATGATGTGCCTCGGTCAGTGCATCGGTGGTCCGCATTCTCGTCGAATGAAATAGCTCCTCTGCCCAACTGCATAAAGCAGGAATAAATTGCAAACCTGACCACGTCTCATGATCTTACGTGGTTGTCCCAAACAGGGACTGCCTTTGCGTGAAGGACTTCGACGCCTACCGTGGCACAACCCTACCACGACCGTGGCAACGTCGGAAACTCGGTCCCTGTCACCGAACCTGACGTGCCGTACAACCGTGACAGGGAACGAAGGCGTGAGTGCAACTTCGTCGTAGGAGAGGAAACCACAGTCAGGCATGGCCGAATCCCGTAGGGCCCGACTTCCGCTCACGAGCCTCAAGTGTGGTGAGACACTCGGCGCTAGGATCGAAGGACCCTCATGTCGGTGAAAGTCCCCCGTCCCGACCGAAGACGGGACAGCTGGCGTCCTTAAACAGCGTCGTCCTGGGTGCACAGAGGGTTTAGAAAACAGACAGTTTCGAGGGACGCACAATTTCCAGCTGGGGACTGATGCGGACGAACAGGAAATTCAAACACCAACCGCCCACGTTTGAACCGCGGTTCACGCTCCGTACACCGCGCTTTTGTTGGCCCTCCTCGTATCAATAAATCTCCGGATTTTGACGTTAATTGAATTGACTGGATGGGCGGCTTTGCTTTGAGACGGTCACAGCTCTCGTGCAAGAAGTGATTGTCTGGCATCGATGTCTTCGGACCTCTCGGCAATTTGACAGCGTAGGGGTCGGGTGTTACCAGAGGTTTGGAGTGGATTTCGTTCCTTTGCTGTCAGAATAATGTCCGTCATCAGGTACGAGGAAATGGGAGACGCATGGTTGTCTTTCTCGTAGCTCGATCGGTTCCTTATCACCTTAGTAACCAAACACGTTAAGTTTTAAGTTCGACAATGACGTTTTAAAAGCAATGACGTCTTAATGCTTAAGACGTCATTGCTCTTTCAAGCGGCGAACTCAAGTAACAATCGATCAGGACGTATATGATCAGGGTCAAAATGTACCAGAGCTGAGAACTGACAACTGGGGTGGCTGGATTGACTCCTTTAAGTGTCTCTCACAACTCTTCCTTTTGAAAATCCATGAGCCTGTGGGCTTGAGTTCTTCGCCCACGGAATGTCGAGAGTGAGAGTATTGTCTGCGTTGAGCACGTTGTACTGGCGGTAAAAAATCTGCTTGCAGTGACAACTACGGTAAAGGAAACCAATGTATGCAATCGGATGCATAGAAGTGATTGGCAATCTCTTCACGATTGGACGTCCATGATTAGAAAAGAGCAAGCCGAGTCATCCTCTTGTGCACAGCTGTTTTGGTTAAAATTACCAACAGGTGATAACTCTTTATTCTTGCAGAAAATGCTCAAAAGGCTGATGTCTGGAAATTACCTCAGGTGGATCTTGTGAGTCGCCGAGAGGTCGGTGAAAGAAATGCTAAGGTGTGTACGCTGATGCTTGCTTGATGCATAGCACAGCACATGCATTCTGCATTGCTTGCGGAGGAATCACAAGAAGGAAGAGCATGACACAAAAACACTAGCATTACTGCACGAAATCGTCGGGCTAGGAGCTCCTGTTGATGTTTTTGTGACACTCACGTCCCGCCAAAGAGCAAATATGTACTTGAACAGAAGGCGGGCACGGAGGAAACTATGCGGATCGCCCCACTTGCATGGCCCCAAGGCCAAGACCGGTCCCAAAGAGCCTTCTGGTCTCAACGATGATGATCCGGACATGCTCGCACTGGAGTCCTAGTCTGCCGGCACCCGAGTAAAGCACCCTCAGTAACTTGCCAAAGCCTGCAGTTGTTCCCATCCCTGATCGCTTACTACAACCAAAATCCGTAAACATTTTGGCTGACTGGATGGAACTGATTGATGGCGCAATCCAAGCACGTGTCGAAGTGACAACCCGAGAAGGACGACTCTGTCCGTAGCCGTAGACTTTTCTTCGACTTCCTCATTAGCCAGATTCAGCCTTGCTGCAACTGCGCATACAAACTTCGTCCTTCTTGCAGTCACGCTGATGGACGAAGTTTGTCTGTACCATTTTCATAGAGCAGGTTTGAATTGCAGACGAATCGTTCCTCCTGGATCGTTTGCTCCGGTGGACAACCGGTCCTGATGGTAGCGTGTGCCGAGATTCCGAAAGTCTTGCGAATCATCTCCTCTCTCTCTCGATTAGAGCAGATCCATTCTTCGCTTCCCTTCCGGTAGGCTCCTCAACAGTATTAGTGTCTTCTTGTCCAGGAAATTTTTGTCCATACTGTAGTACTGCATGCCCAGTTCCAGGCACCATTCGCTCCCAAGTTTCATGTCCGCCAATCTGGACTGCGGTGGGACATGTAAAGCTCAGACAAGACGAGCATGACCCTCCAGGACGCGAGGAGGCATCGGTTGTGCGGTTCTTTTATATCGTCCAATATCATATCACGGGAAGTACAGAAGTGGTTTTGTCTTTGAAATAGGAGAGGTCAAATCGTCGGTTACTTTGTCCTTGCCATTCCACCTTCTGCTTAATCTAATTATCAAACTCACCTACACTCATTTGTATTTTCTCTCTTTTCGCGTAACTTCTCTTTGATCCACGTCGAGTCACATCGTTGAGCATCGGGTGAGGTACTGCCATCGTTGGCAGAATCGATCTTCTGTACTCAATCGCCATCGAATCTCAACCTGGTAAGACATGCAAACTCAGAGCGTCAATCCTCAAAGTTTAGAATTTGTTGTTTCTTCAAGGACGTCAGCATGACGTGCGGTGGTTTGAGTCATATAGCCATCCGTTCTGAAATTCGTAACTGGCACAATAGAACAAACTTTCCTGAAGATTGTTAGGAATTTGTGGTCATCGAGCCCCCCGTAAAAACAGCGCGAGAGGCCTCCATGAAATGATGGAGACACAACCGCTAGTTCTATTGTGTGGCGAAACGCTTCCCGTCAAAATTCTATTTACCGTGAGTTTCACACAACAATTTTTCCAGATTTGTTTATTCAGGTAGTGGGTTTCCCCTGGCGTCATTAGCATTCTACTTTCCAACGTAGTATACGTTCATGTCTTACATCATGGTCTTGTAGCAGCATTGTATACGAATAGACCCGCGCATGAAGACGAGTAGATACAATCTCGCTGAATATGTCTCCACTTGATTGTTTTGTTATTGCTATTCCACGATTTTCAGGTATATTTCTACACCAGGTAGGTTCATATAGCACACGTGTTGTCAGAGACATGATTGGTGACATATAGTCATAACAATAATTCGGAAGGTGTTGGATATTTACGAAAGGAGTAGGAAAAAGATATCATTGTACGCAAGGACTAAGCAAATACTGTTAATGTACATGTGTGTTGTTAGCGCTTGTAATTTGAGAACAAGGATGTGGCTGAATATATTCAAAAGAAACGAATACAAAATGATCGTTTGGGGAATATTAATTGAATACAATCTCTTGGCTATCCTCGGGAATGTGGCCTGCAGAAAGAGTCATCATAACTTTGCATTTACATGTGCTGTTACATATAATGCCAAAAACAGCAAATATTTTATAGGACATTTTCTATCTCTAATTATACTATAGCGATCCCTTGTGCCTCGGACAGGACAGCACTCATTTTACCTGCCCAGGCGGAACTCAAAGAATTCTTCATTATTATGAAGAATTTGTACAACCTCTTTCCAAAATATGATTTTTAGTAAGGCATCTCACAAGTTACTGTCAACGATCTGTTTATGCTCATGTGTTACGACCAGGTTTCTTGACCATCCATCCAATTCGTCGTGGTACGCTTTTGAACACGTGGGTCCTCGTCATGAGCCTTTCAGGAAACAAACTACACTGGGCACATGGAGTCCCTTAGTGTTGTAAGGTAGAATCCATGGATACAGAAGTATAGGAAGCACGACCTGGTTGTTTAATGTGTTTCAACCTATTCGCTGCAATACACAATATCAAGACGTGTAAACATTTCAGTGTAGGCCGGGTTAATTTATAGTGATAATTAAAATTTTCGTGGAGGGAACATGCACGATCATGGTTATTATTTTATCCAGTTATGGTCACACTCCCTTCGACTTTATTGTAAAATTCTGCCAGTATTATGACTTTGGTTAGCGTTGACAGTATTAGCTTTTATGAGTATAATTTCTACTGCAATACGTGAAATAGAGATCAGACCCAATTCAGCAAAATGTGGCTAAGACGCCATCAATAGTAGAAATACAAGTAAAAAATAAATAAATTGGCAAGGCTCCATACTGGTTTTCTGCAAAGTGTGTGGGAATTTCGTCATGACTAATTCTGAAAAGCACTTTTCTTTTCTCTACCTATGCTCTTCTTTTCGTATCTTTTCGAGTATACTGGAACGCCCTCCTCCACTTGCCTTCAAGTGGTGGAAGAGCTTTCAGATCATTGCCACAGTGCCGAGAGTTCGTCGAATACGCTCGGGGTTTCTTTTGCTCGAGCCAGTGCGGCAGAGGAAAATCGCCCTTCCGACTATTCCTTACTGCAGTTTTTTGTCGTTGGAATAAATGACACACGTCTCACCCGTTGATCACCAGACCGGCATATTCATGCGTCTGCACACCACTTCCCATCAACTTTCATTGGGTTCCTCCATAAACAACGCTCGAGAAGTGCAGAGCATTCCAGCTATACAGAGTATTGTGTTGGGGCTGAACGCGCGAGGGCTGAGATTGTTGGCACCGAGGGGAGCTTTGAGGGGCACGGGTCCACTTCACATGGGGAAAAGGAAAAGGAAAGGAAGGGCCGAGCGCGAGGAAACCTGGAAGGCAAATAAAATGCAGGAGATTCGCTCATACAGATGGACATGGCACGCGGCTAACGTGGCACAGGGCGTGTTGAGGAGGAGGGAGAATGTAGAGGATTTGCAGGCCAGCTACAGGCGAAAATACTCGAGACCACACCGCGGAGCGAACAGTGGTTGGAGAGAGGGCGGAACGGGGCACAGTCGGAGGCAGGGTCTGCGGGTTGTCGCGGCGTGGTCTAGTCTGACAGGCGGGGCGCGGGTGGAGGGGGCGCGATGGAAGCTTCAAAAGGCTCCAAGGTTCGGGGAGCAGCCATCAGTGCATCAAAAATCAGTTGAGCATTGGCCTCCGACCCAGCGTGTGACGTTGCCAGCACTGAGCTCAGCTCGACTCATCATCAACCTTGACGCTAGGTCTGTGGCCTAGCGGGACGTTTGCACATTACATCGCAAATTGTGTCCGGTGAAGTGAGTTAGGCTGGGCTCGAAACTCCTGAGGGTATATCAGCCAGGACGGAAAAAGGTGACCCGGTGACCTCGCGACAGTTGGTGAATTTGTAGAATTCGGAGAATTCTTTGAGTGTAGAATTCTTGTGAGTTTGAGTGTAAGAAGGAAGTGGAGCCAATTTGGTGGGCCGGACGGACGAGCAACGAAGATAGGCTGGCAGGCAGGCCGGCCTCTACTTCTCCCGCGGACCATCATCCCCACCTTTATTTGTCTACTAGCTTGACCTTTGAGACTTTGACGGACCGACGAAGAGATCTCTCGAGCCAATCGGGGCTGGAGTGTCTTTTTGGGAGTTTTGGGGCAATTGGCTTGCCCGAAGGAGCTCTCCTAAAGACGGACACGACATCGCGTGCGTGCGCAGACAAAAACCGAGTGCAGGGCCTATCAAAGCCATGGACTGAACCCTCCCCCTTTTGACCTGTTATCAGGATCTCAGCACTACTACTTCTGGTGGTGCGTGTGTGTTTGTGTGCGCGCCTGACTGTACTTTATTAGCGAACTTACTAGATTCCCTTCCAACCGACTCTCTCTCGCCGACCTGCTCTTCTACTTGCCGGCCTTGCCCCTCTGTTTTTTCTCGTCTGCCCCCACCTCGTTCTAAACCTGCTTTCTTAGCCGCCTTCATTCGCAGTTTCTTCTCCCTCGCAGGGCACTTCATTCCAGATCCGGACCTTTTTCAATTGCCCGCTTCGCTAATTTATTGACCCACGCTACCTTGGCTGGCTCATTCATCTACAGTACTTACATAGGTCCGTCTCCGAATCTCTCGTCTCTTCTCCCTCTGCTCTCGTCTCTCGTCTCTCTCTTCTCTCTCTCTCTCTCTTCCGAAAATCAAGTCAATCTCAAGCACGACATCGCTCGGACAGATGCTAATCTGAAACACGACACCTCTGATTTCCGGCTTTCTATCCAGGCGCACACTTGAGCTTGCAAATGCTATCCGAAGCGTCTTTTCTCCGCGTATTGTAAGCACCTGTCACGTGGTTTCTGAGCTAGAGAGAAGTCATTACGATCCCCCAACAGAGAGCCATGACGACGGAAGGATTGCCGTCGGAGAATTTGAGTGCAGTATCTTCGCTTGCGCGACCACAATTGGGGTATCCAGTCGATGAACGCACACCTCTTCTCCCCTCGAAGAAGCAGGATCTTATTGAGGAGCCGGATGATGGCTTCCACCAAGCGTCTTTCACGAGCGCTGTATTCAACCTTTCCACGACGATCGTTGGAGCTGGTATCATGGCCCTGCCCGCAACAATGAAGGTACCAACCTACTCTTAGAACTCTGCATCTGCTTCTCTCACCTCTTACCAACTGTCCATACGCTCAGGCAGTATACCTCGATGTCTTGCTTCACCTCTGCTGAGTTCCCGGGGCTGAGGCATTTGTTCTGTTTGCTGGCCATGTAATGGATCGGTGCATTTCCGGGAAGTTGTGGTATCGGAGTCGCTCAGGTGATTGTGTAGAAAGTTAACGCTGAAAGGCACCCGTATGACGGACGTTGGAAAGGATAACGAAACGCATGATAATATTGTTCCATATTTGTAATAACTGTAGTTCATGAGGAATAAGGATTGGCTACCGAGAGGAAATAATAAGTAGGAGAGTCGTTACTTAGGATTCTGGGTGTCTCGGTGACTGTCTATGCAGGAATTTGACACGGGGCTCAATCTTTGTCACGCGTTCCTGATTCATACTCTTGTAATCATGATCTGTTTTGAAGGTTCTGGGACTCCCCCTTGGTTTACTCACTATCGTTATATGCGGTATTCTCACCGACAAGTCGATTGAGTTCCTCATAAGGTTTTCTCAACCGTGCAAAGCTCGTTCATATGGAGGACTCATGGCCGATTCATTCGGAAAGCCCGGCAGAACGTTGACTCAGTTGTTTATCATCATCAACAATGTCGGAGTTCTAATTGTTTATTTAATCATTATCGGTCAGTAATCTACTTCTCTTCTGTGGTGAAAAATCTGGACGCGCACCATGCTACAGACGGTATTCTTTGACTTAGAATGCATGGGAAGTCTGCAGGTCCCACAGAATGTCGCGGCGGATCCTCTTGGCCGTTAGGTCCATTGATGCACAGCTTTAGGGCAGCTTCCTATTAGTCGGTTGTAGGCAGAGAGTAGATACGTTTACTTTTGTCAGGAATGCTTGGATGTACCTAGTGTAAGAAGTCACGGATTTACAATTTGTGTGAATTTTGTTTTGTCCGAAGCGGAATGTCCGGATATAGTGGATAGATACTGGAATCACTCTGCCCTGGCAACGATCATCTGTGTTCTGACTACAGTAGTTAACAATCTGTCAATCTAGCGTACATTTTTACGGATCTAGCCGTGATTCAGAGTTACGAGATCTGGAACTCATTAAATATTGGTTCATGGAAGTAGCGGTCTCGTCAATTACTTCAATGCTTGAAACCTCGGTTTGAAAATTTCACAAGATCTCATAAATGTCCGCCTTGTGGTGAGAGTGAATAAGTTCTAATCAATTTGTAATTGGGATACAGGTGATGTATTGTCAGGGGCAAGAGGTTCGGATGCTGCCCATACTGGACTCTTTGTAGAGTGGGCTGGGGGTCCGACTTGGTGGAACGGTCGGGCCTTTGTTCTCGCGGCAACGATGTTGTGCATATTACTACCACTCGCGTGCTTCAGACATGTTGGTAAGAGATAGATGTTGCCGTTGATATTTTACGGAAATGTCCTGCTCATTGTTGTATATTTGTGGACTTTCCTGAATTCCATCAAAACAAGATGGGATCATCATATACGTGTACAATGTTTTGACTGTCTTTACTTGTAAACGCATTCACTCCTGCGTGCTGAAATAGCTAGTAGCTAACAGTTAACTGAAGTCGAAACTCATTCGGTGATTTTTACGGCAGCGGTTCTATGAATTTTACCATGTCTTTTAACAAGTCGCATAGTCACAAGTGCGCAAACGTTCCATCTACAGAAAATGTCCATCTACAGATTTTATTTTTTTTGACACTGTTCTGTCTGGGCTATGCTGGGATTTCAGATTCATTGAAGCACTCGTCAGCGCTATCGGTTGGACTAGCTGTGGTCTTCGTTGTGATCACTTCGGTAGTGGCCATCAAAAAGTTGTTCGATGGAACGATTGATGCTCCTAGACTGTTGCCTGATGTATATGATCAATCTTCCTTCTGGAGGCTCTTTACCGTTGTACCAGTTATGGTTACGGCCTACATTTGCCATCACAATTGTAAGGAAACCTTATCTTTTTTCAACTGGCTGATGCAGTCTCCATATTAGTATGTTGAAATAGGTTGAAGCAAGACAGGGTTGGCAGAGCTTGTCCAAGTTTCTTACTAGTCGATCCTTGAAGTATTCTTGTTTCATTTATGCCAGAAATTTCCGTACTTAGGGGTTTACGAGGCTGTTCACTACTGAAATCGATACTGGATTTGAAAGTTACGCTTCATCTTTACAGATTAAGATACGGGCGAAGTCGAGTACTTTATGACAAACTTGCTCTTTGATTTTCCTGTCAATTCAGTGCATCCGATCGCCAACGAAATGAAGGGTTCCTCGGAGGCAGAGATTCACCGTGTCTCACGTGCCTCTATCCTTCTATGTAGCATGATCTATGTGGCAACAGCTCTATTTGGATACCTTCTTTTTGGAGAGAAAACGGCATCTGATATTCTTTCCAACTTCGATACCGACCTTAACGTGCCATACAGCAAGCTTCTGTGTGGAATTATCCGCATTAGTTACGCTATTCACATCATGCTGGTCTTTCCTCTCTTAAACTTTTCTCTCCGCCTCAATCTTGATGCCCTCTTGTTCCCGAAAGCTAAGGCTCTGGCTGAGGACACACGACGGTTCTCTATTCTTACAGCTGTTATCATTGCTTCCGTTTTTATTGGCTCAACGTTGGTTCCCAATATTTGGGTCGCCTTTGAGTTTACTGGAGCAACAGCCACGGTTTGCCTTGGTTTCATCTTCCCCGGCCTTATTGCTTTGAGGTGAGGTCACGTACAGATCATCATAATTACACCTGTGACCAGCTGATGTGCTTTTCATCTTTTTGAAATATTATTATGTAGAAGTGTAGAACTTGCAAGTGCTTAAGAGCTGGCGAGGCAAATGAGCTATTGAAATTGTCCCAGGTTCTGGTGATGTGGTTAGAAGCTTTGGTCTGACGACTTTGATTGTTCTTCAGGGATAACTCAAACATTGCAACGAGCAGGGACAAATGGCTGGCCCTTATTATGGTTGTTGTGGCCGTTATTTCCAGCGTGTCGGCAATTACTACAAACATCTTCGATCTCTTTGCGACTGTTGATTCAGATCAACCAAAGAACCTGCATGGAATATATTCGTATTTGAGCGTCAGGAGGTAAATTGAACGCCCTCGAAGGTCGGTCAGCCCGACCTACAGCTGTAATCATGTGTTTAGAATATGCAGTCGTATTTGGAGTTCAAGGTGGCGGATTCATCTGTCGTCAATATACGGTCACACATTCATCGTGCCTGGAGGATATGGAGAATTTTGGGGCTATTTTCCCCAATTTCAAATCCAATTGACATTCTTGGTAGCCTGTAAAGTACAGGCAAGAGATTCATCTCTAGGTCTTTCTTGGAAGGATGTTTTTCTTATCTCCCTTATCTTTGAGAAGATCTCAGTGTTGTGCTCATCTGAGAAGATCTCAACTTTGTAAAGTTGAAGTTGTTGATCATCATCTTGGTCAAGAAGCTCGCTGCGCGCGAGCTGTTCTCGCTGATCTCCCACTGTTATAAAATGATCAACCTTGCATTGAAATTGCACAAATGTTGCATTAAGTATGGAGCATTTTTAGTGGGAGCAATAGTAGAGGAAAGTGTACAGTTACTAGCGTTAGTTCCAGTTTGTATAGCTTGAAGCAGACTCTTTGTCTTCTGGGCACAGTTGCAGCCGGTTGAGATAGATATGGCTTCCAACAGGCAGCAAAGACATTTATTATCTATCGGGGATTATGGACATCGTGAAACTTTGTAAGACGAGCTCAGATCCTTGTAAAGAGTCCAAATACAATACATTTACAGAGTCTGATCCTCTGCAAGGCGATCAATGTGTCATATGTTTGATCTATATATGTTTCGCATCTGTTCGTCTTTTTATGCTTAATTCAATCCGGTGGAAGTTCTTGAAATGGCAGACTTTGTTTTGATTAAGTCCCGGCAAGGTCAGCTGGTGAGTGCTAACTCTGAAGAGCTACTCTACGCGATATAAGCATAGGTTTTGATTATAGGAATCCTGTAGAAATAGTTCTTACTGGATTGAAACATACGATAATCATCGTGGCCGTGAACATTTTGAAGAAACAGGTACTAGAACGTAGGTACACAAATCTAGTATAAATTGTTCTTCAAATTCCACCTAACGTGTTCACTATTTCTTGGGATTTTGACCTTTTCCAGGAAGGAACAGAATGTGTTGTAGATATCGTAATAGTTGCATCAGTTATCACAACAACTGATGCAATTGGAGAATACTTTGGTCATGAGGTTGGGAATATAATTTAATCTGCTCAGTGGATTCGCTGCGGTTCAAATTAGCTTCTATATTCAACCTGTTTGATCATAAAACAAGCATTTTGAGCATCCAGATTACCACATTTAATCCGTGGGCTCATTTGGCGTGATAGGATTTTGTAACGCACAGTATCTTCTCGCAGTTGCGCAATAGAAACCGAAGCACTTTGAAGACAGAATTATTCCTTTTTTCATTCTTCGTTGACAATGAAGACCCTTCTCACAGATGGGTTTCAGATGCAGAAAAGCAAAGAGCATTCTAGATGCCTGTCAACTAGCACGCGAAAATGGAAAAGTTCATTAGGTGCTATGCACTATACTGCGTGGTCTTGTTTGTCTACTGAGCCATGGTCATTACATGGATTTGAAAGAAAAAACCAAGTATCGGATGTAGGCCGCGCTCCGGTGGAAATCAATGTCTTCAAAGATATTTAGAATACCTCCTCAAATGATGCTGTCTGGTTTTTTTGTCCTCCACATTCCCTTAGATGTATTATATGCTGATGTCACTTTATTACTGAAGACTGAGTTGTTATTTAATTACATATACCAGAGTGGAAAAGCCTTTACCGTGCGCAGCGACAAAGACAGGAGGTATTACAATCACACATTTTGACTCTTATACGTACAACTCATGAAGGCCTTGGGTTTCTATACTATCGGGGCCTACCACTTATTGCCCCGGTGATTTGTTCATTGTTCCATGTTGATGTATCTTGCAATTGTTAATTATATACATGTGGCCCTTGTCATCTTCTACATACTCGACACATCATTTTATGACTATAGGGTACCAATGTATAGGATGTTCGCTTTACAGAACTTTCCCCAGATCAAAAGTTAGAGTTAAACCGGCAGGTTAACCCTTTACTTCACAAAACTTAGAGCTTCATTTATACCTCCGACATATAACAAATAGTGCATTTACTCTTCAGCTACTTGCAACTATCACACTGTCATTAAATCTGAAATTGGGGAATCTTGATTGACCACAATCTTCTTAAATATATATATATATATATGACGGAAGGTAAGTTTTTTCAAATTATTTCTACGTATTTAATGCATGTAATTCATAAAATATAAAAAATATGTATAAGAGATTCATTAACAGATTTCTACTATATTTTTTTGAATTTAAAAGAGAAAGTAAAGTCCATACATGTACTTTATTAGATTTGTAACAAATTCAATATGAATGAAAAAATCCAATAATTGCTGAAAACATTGTAGAATTTTTTGAATAAATTTCTGAATAAATTCATTCATCCATTAAGAAGAGCGTATTCTTATTCAATTTTATAAATCAACGAAATATAGATTTACCGTTAGTAGACAATTCAGTTTAATCTTAGTCTAGTTAGTACTACCAGGATGAGTTTGCTATAGCTCTCTGTAACAAAAATTTAGGAATTTATTTGTGATCTGATGCACGTAATCTATTTAGAGATCAAAGTAGTATTGTAAACTTTGATTCTCTTGTGTGTAGTTTGAGTTATAAGTCTCAAAATTGATGACAATGACACAACATTTCTCTTGTGTGAGAGTGAGATGTTGAAAAAAAGGCCTGGTACAGGAAAGGTCAGAGACGAATAGAATGAAGGATAGTTGCCAGAATTCCAAAAAAGTTTCTTGGAATTTACGGAATATATGTAACTAATTCAAACCATTTAACCACATAAGAAGAAAAGTAGATGCACCTGAAGTACTGGTACTACGAATAACAAATCAGACAATGTTGAATTGACATAGATGTACTCTAATATTAAAGGCTAAGCTACTGATATAAACTGATTTCCAAGATCTCTTGAATGATTTATTTTACTCCATTCACGTAATTCACCCTAAACCTTGTAGATACTAAGATCTGATTTGTATTATCTTTCAAACTTCACATATAACTAACGCTTGTCTTTGTTTTATTATCCAAAAAAATCTCAAAGAGTTCACCACCAGAAATTTCACAACAATCTTTTGACCATCAAGTGTATTACAAGATTTCATTTATCAATCTGGTTATAACTCTTCCCTTGTATCTTCAACCAATGTGAAATTTCACACTAACACATGTTACTCAAGATTTATCTTGGAGAATTTTTCTTCATACAAAACTATTGAACCAAAAGGTATAGCTAATCTACAAAGCTCATGATAATTAGTGTAATATTGCATTATGAACATCAAATCTCAAATTTTTTCAATAATTTTTTTTTCCATTTTTTTAGAAATCTAGCCATAGATCATAAATGCTTGACATCTTTGTCATTTTGTGCATACCAACCTAGAGTTACATCAAGTATCGTAGTGGAAGAAAAGTATAGAATAGATGACAATAACATTTTGTGTTATAAATTATCAATCAATATAATAATTTTAATTTTGTTGTTAGTGATTTTTTTCCATATCATGATGAAACAAAACATGAAACAATGATTGATATGAGACAAACAATGAGCTCTAAAAATGATAAGATTTTATCTCATTAGTTATTTTTATTCACGATTCTAAACATCAAGTACAAGATCATCATCATTGGGTTTGTGTGCCAATATTTTTCATCTTGAATCTTTTTAGTTTCAAAAAGTCATATAATTTATATGACAATTCTTTTTTATTTATAATTTTACAAAAAATTAATTTGTACCAGATAATTTTTATGAATATAAATTTTTATAATAATTTTTAAAAAATTCATTGAATCAAGATTGAAAATGTTATATTCATTTACTTCATTCTATTATTTTGGTACGACACTTAGTTGTAAAAAAATGTACTTTTAAAAATCCTAACGTAAACGTGAGCTCATGTTCTTGGATCGGACATGATTCCGATATTCTGACGATAGCTCCGATTGGCAGGGTCTCGAATCGAGTCTGTCATCCAGAATCCAAGCCTCGACCACTTGGCACGGGTGGGTGAGATTGGCGGGGACTGTTCGCATGCATCGCGGCCATAAATCATAGCTCCATAATTGCTCTCACGGTTCTTGTTCGTACGTTCACCGGATTATGAACGAGTCCAGGCCTTCCTTCCGTTACGTTCTCGTCCTCTTGAAAAGTCTGTCATGATGGACGCCCTCCCCCAATGACAACTTTTGGTAGACGGTTTAGACGGTGAGTCGGCATCGCTGACTCGATCTGCCTTGTGACATCAGCCGCGACAAAAGTGTTTGGGCTTCCACCCTTTTCGTCCGTGAATGATCAAGTCGATCTCTTCCTACAGCGCTCGAAGGAGGATCTAGGAAGGAAGGAAGGAAGGAAGGAGGGAGGGAGGGAGGGAGGGGATTTAGCGTGAGAGCTGGGGAGGGAAATTTGCCGTATTTTCTCTGTCAGGACGAGGCGGGCAGACATACGGCGAACGATTGCAGCGGTGATTGGGTGCAATCATCGCTCTGGGACTCGGCTGACGTGGTGACATGCCTCGAGGGGGACAGGCGCGGCACGAGGGAGCTGGACTCGGAGGTTGACGAGAAAATGGCTTACGCGAGTGGTGCTGCTGATGGTGGGTGTCTCCGCTGAATCAGGCTGGCCGTGGTATCAGCGTGGGCGAATTAATTACAGTAGTCAGGGATCACATGTGCAGGGCTCGCGAGGGCCCCCGCCGATTGGGCAGTTGTGTAGCCTGGGTCGTAGAGTTGGTCCTTATTCCTCTCGAACGAAGCAAGAATAAATGAACGAACAAGTTTTTCGTCTCGCCGTCTTTCTAGTTTTGCTCCCGTGCTTTCCTTTTCCACACGCTCGAAATTGCTTCTCCTCTCGACGTTTGATGTTAGGTCAAGGCTGATTCCGGTTCTGTCGTCAAGAGTCGGTGTGAATTCCAAGGTCGCAGTTTAGACAAAATGACTTCTAAGAATTCTCGGTGGGCAGGTAACGTTACGCAGCGTTTAGCGCTCGGCACGTCACTTTTTTCCAGGGCATTCTTTCTGTTGCCGGAACCGGGGATTGCCGCCGAAGGATGTGGCAACACTCACGGAATCCGCAACGCGATGACCCTCGGGAACTCATCGCAGCTTGAGCTTGAGTGATCTCTCGTAGCTTACTCATACATGATCTCAGTTTGTAGCAAGGTGGACGACAGCTTCAAGAACTCGATGGATAGAGCGGAGAGGCGTCAGAGACGCCTCGATCAAAAGGTGCGGAGCTGTCAACCTAGCTTGGGTAATGCCTCTATATTTTTCGGTCCATCATTCACAGCAACTGCTTCTCTTTCAGCCCGTCCCCATCCCCTTTATGAATCCACGGCAGCTTCCTGATTTTACCGAAGTATTTGTGTCAATATCTTCAACAGAATTGGGGAGGAGGAGTATATGCGGGCAAAAAAAGAGATGCCAGCAAGGGCCACGATGAGTCTGTCGACCAGCGGGTACTCTCGTTTCCCCATTGTGCATTTCAACTGCGCTGCGCTCTTCATTGCTTTATTCTCAATGTATTTGGATTTGGGTTGGAGGCAAATGTGTAGTGCCTTTGAATTATTGTGGGTTAACAAGAGACTTGCGAAGAAGCCTCTCGATAGAAAGTCGATCGTCTGATGCTGCATGGAAGCATGTCATAGCGGCCTTAGTAAAACCCAGTGTCGAATATCGTGCAGGCTACAAAATGTGCTGACTGTGGTTCCGGCGAGAAGAAATTGACTAGGCGAGGTCCTTTGGGTCCACGAACACTTTGCAGCCCTTGCGGAGTCAAGTGGGTTTCCGAAGTAAGTGATTAGCTACCGAAGGTCATAGTCCCAGCCAAGTACAGAGTTGCTGAGCCGACTCCACATGCTCTCGTTCGTCTTGAAGGAAGAGCAATATATTGGACATGGCAACTTGCGCCGATCAAATTCATGAAGATCTGATGAAGCAAGTTTTTTGTCTGCAAAATGCACACTGCCTTCCTGTTTACCATTAAGGGGGCAATTAAGCTGTATATGTCATGATCCTAGCCCATGAATGAGCTCAATCGATTACCTCTTAAGCCACATGTCATTGTCACCACATCTGTCTCAGTAATTCGGGCTCAATTGTCCGAGCTCTCGTATTCAGGTGATACGGACAAAACACCCGTACTGCTGAAAAACGTTATGGACTCGGCAACTAGACAGTGATGTAGCGTCCGCAGCGTGCAAATGACCTCTCACTTCCTCGAGTTGCAGGCAACGAACATGTCTCATCACAGTCCTTCGTCCGCGGGACGTGTGCCTGCGTCAGAAGTGTCGCAGGTTCGTGCCGAAGTAAGATCATCTGCTTCTGTGTAGTTCATAGGGGCCACAAGGAATCGCCTCTGTTGTGAGGAGATTCTCTTTTGCTCATACGAAGGCTTATAATAAGTGGCCCTTCGTCGCATTTCGATAGGTCCTCGCGGGTCACGTATGAATTGAGTAAAAATTTGGCTAGGATCGATGAAGGGTGGGCAGCGCAGTGAGTCGAACTTGTCGGAACCTTTTTGTTTGTCCTCACTGATTTGTACCCTACGATCGGTTGTTTTGATCAGAAAAAGGCGAGGAACGCAATCAGAAACCTTCAAGATACATCATCTGAAGGGGAGAGCGTCGAGGACATCGGCCAAGATCGAGGTGCCGATATGTACATCAAGGATTTGGAAAGGAAGTTGCGGGACTTAAAAAGTGAGCACCAAAATTTGCAAAATGCGCTTCATGTGAGTGACGCCAGTGTAACTACGTTTCGGAAATTGAACGATCAGAGACAACACAAGATCGACGAACTGGAAACTTTGGTCGAGTCTCTCACGGCAAAAATCAAGGAAATCTCGTCGCCATTATCCGGATCTGCGTCCGGGGCAGAAGCAGAATGTGTGAGATTGAGATCTGAGGTTCGCAAGCTGGAGGACAAGCTCAGGACAGATGTTCGAAATTTAGAAGACAGGAACAGGCAGCTTGTGGAGAATATGGAGCTCATGAGCGAGCTGCTGAGCAAGAATTTCTCAGCTGGGAAAGAGATTCTCGCTCAAAGCCTTCTGATCAATGGCGACCATAATACTCGGTCGCGGAGGAGTGGTGTGGTTACAGATCAACAGCAGCAAACTGGGCATTATCAGGAGAGCAAAAAGGCTAGTAATGTTGTCAAGAATAAATACGATGTCCCTCCTGGGTTCGAGGTTGATGCTGATGTTGACGTGGATGCCGATATCGGAGACAATGAACCAGAATATCACGTTCTGAGACGTGAACGACGGAGATCACCACGGAAGGTTCTCGAGGATCCTGTCCCTTGCTCCAACGGATCCAGGGGAACTGGGGGTGATAGAGATCGAAGAGATCCGGGATGGAACAGAGATCAGGATTGGGAGAGACTCTATCATGGCGAGTCACCCGACCTCGTGAGAGAGAGACGAAGAGAAGAAGTACGAGGCAATAAAAAGGATGCAGAGGTAAGACTTGAAAAGGCAGGTGGTGGAAAGCAGTATGGATCTTGCAGTGGAGAAGATAAGAGCTTACGTCCTCTAGTCACATATGATGCACTTCCTTTGGCTCGACAGCACGTGGAGCAGACATTTATCACTTGGCTCAATAGCAAGTTGAGAAAACCGACAGAAGAAGAGATGGAATATCACAAAACGCAATTTAGTACCAACGGGAAAACTTGTTACTGGTCAGGCATACCAGGTTCTGAACTTCTCGCACAGTACGAGGAAGCGTGCCCTCTGAAGCAAGCCCCCGACAAAGAAGCACTTGAATTGGTCCTGAGGACCATACTACACGTAGAAGCTTGTCCTATGAGGCCTAATGATGTGCTCTGGTGTCTGGTGTGGCAAGACTGTATGAAGATTGAGCATTTGCCCGGCTACCATGACATGGATGTAGCGAGGATCAAGAGGGAAATGAGGAGACCTCGCTCTCCAGTAGTTGGTGTTGAAGAATCGGACCGGTCCCTCAGACAGAGGTTTACGTACTGTTGATGATCGAGGACGAGCCTGTCGAAGTGCTCAACTTGACATTTAACTTTCAACTTGACATTAATTTTTCGATGTTGTCTATGTTTTGCTGCAGTCAGAAGAAAGTATTAGGCGCCCAAGTGTAGAGAAGGAGAGTTCAGATGATTTTGCGGCTGGTATGCACCATGAATAGATCCCACTTACATTGACAACATAGAAGGACTAGCAGTAGAATTGCTCACTTGTGAATATTGTAGTAAATTTGATCTCATGTAAAATTCCGGAGTCACTCACTACAATCATGTTACCCGTTTGCTGCTTGGCCAGGACTTTGGATGCCTTTTGGCACCCAGAAATGTAGATAGCTTGCTAATCGCGGCTGTTTTGAATTGTCAAAGGCGACTCTTCGACTTCAGACGAGGAAGTGTGTCAATGATTTATGAACCAAGACCTCGTTTTGGAGTTCATGATGTAGATTATGTGGAAACCGTGGTCAAGAGCAAATTTAACAGGCTCAACCCCTGCCTTTGGCGACTGGCCTTGGCTCTGAAAGGTTGATGCTGATTTCATGTTTCATACTGACAAAATTTGGAATATATTTTGTACAAAATTGAGCCAACGCCTGGAAAATGAGAACTCGCATGCATTCCATCGTACAGTGCCCGCCTCCTCAAGCCCTACTTCTAAATGAAAACTCGATGAGACTAAGCTCTTCCTTTCCAAGCAGTGACAATTCGCGCTACTTCGTGTTCTTACGGCATGGAAAGGAACTCATTGATTAAGCACCTTGTCACGCTTTGCATCACTGGACGCTGTACAGTACCAAGTCTTACTGGAACATTCCCATCCACATAGACACCCAACTAAGAACTTTCCTACTCGACGACGTTCATGACTTCAGAAGTTTTGGAAGCCTAGTAGGAAGTCTACATTGATGGACGGGGACGCGAAGGCCATGAGGTCGGGTGAGGTGGTGCACAGGCTTTCTGATCTCATGGAGAGAAGAAAGCAAAAACTACCTCAGGACTCACCGGCCCATGATTAGACGGTTTTGGCTGGGAATGGCAGTGAAGACTAGATACATGAGGAAGAGGGAAAAGAGAGTCATTAGGTCGGGGGTAAAGGGCTCTGCATTGGACCAGCAATCCAACGGAAACGGGTACATGTCACCAGATAAGCGGAAGCACGAGGGACGGTGATTTGTTTCCACTAAAATCCCATAAAGGGAAACCGTGAACCATTCGCCACGGCACATGTTCGTTATCGAACACATCCTTCGCCTGTTGCTCGGACCTAGAGCCTACGACATAGGAAGAAAGACTACAAATTTTAAAGTTTATGTTGTGGTCACCGGAATAGAGTGATTAATTTCTGTCGAGCAAGTGCTGTGCAAAGGCTCCTACTACTTTTTGTAGGGGTAGATCCCCCTAGACTAGACTATATCAGGATTTGTTTTCATGTTGCACACTTGTTGGAGAATAAAACGTGAAACTTGGTGGGTAGGCTACTGAATCTTGGTTCAACCATGAGGTAGAACCTTTTGATTAAGAGAGACTATATTTTCTACTTTCTATGATGATGAAGTTGCATGTTGACTTGGTATGTGAATCTTTCTTATTGTGATACTATTCTAGATGAAAATGGAATATATATTATTTGTTTGTAATCCTCTTCATTGAATTAGAATAAATACAGAGGTTAATTCATATGAAAATAGTATCGCATTATAGTTGATTATCTATAGTGTTATGTAAGCAATCAGTAAAAATTGATAAAGCAATGTGTTATTCAAGAGATACACGTAACGCTAGTTGAAAGTAACAAGTCACCAACCTGTCTGTTTGTTACGTATATCTATTATGTTAGTAATCCACAAAGAATCAAATGGACCAGAGTAGTGAATTCTTATCTCCTTGGACTTGTCAAAAAGTTCTATATAAAAAAAACCATTATAAATATTTCAAAATTTTCAAAATTTTTGTTCCATTTTTTAATGCACATATTTCTTAATTGCTACTATTACAATGTTATAATAGTTATCTTTCTCTTATTTTAAGTGTGGATCACACCTCTCGTAAAAAAAATGATATTAAAAATTAATTATTGAGAATATATAGAGGTTAGCAGATAAAGATATTTAGAAGAAAAATTTTTGGTTTTGTAGATATGAAGATGTTTGATAAAAACCAAAACCATAATGACACATCTTCATTCAATTTGATATTCACTTTTGTTCTATAGTAAAACATACTTTTTGGATGTACAATATTAAAATGCAAAATTATAACTCAAATAATAAAAGTGAAAGAGTCATTGTTATTTTTTTCATTAATTACTGAAAAAGATAGAATTATATTGTTCAACTTTATACTGAATACTCAATGGATTAAAATTGTGAGTCATCTACCAGTTTGATTCAACACGTATGTAAATATCAACATGTTACATGTACAACAAAGAATGTGAAATTATTTTCTTGTATAAATTTATGATGAAAAATATATTAGAATTTTTATATGATATTTTTAATTTTTGTGATATTTTTCTGAGAATTAAGATAATCATCATACTTATCTTCTGTGATGAAAATTTCATTTTGGAAAAAAATAAAAATTAATCAATAAATAATTTTCCATGATTTTCTTTGATTTAAAAAAATTCTCTTTTTTCATTTCAGAATTTAATTTTGAAAAAAATTGATAGAAAATAGTGGATGTAAAAATTATTGAGAAAAAATTTGATCTCAAAATAGGATTACTTTATTTTTTTGTGATTAAAAAAAACATCGAGTTCTAGAGATGTGTATGTTTCTTGAAATATATTGTTGTGTTTATAAACACATTTTATATTATGGCTTTCATGAACAATACATATGTGGATTATGAATTTGTTTGTCCACATGATCTATCTTCAAGATTATCATCAAAGAATCGTGTGTATCACAAAATTAAGTTGATATCTAGAAGCATACTAACTTGCAAAACTCTATAAAATGTGTTATTAAACCCAACAATATATTTCAAGAAACATACACATCTATATCACTCTATTTGACTCCAAATGAATTGAAAAAAATTGCAAAACTTAGGTATTGTTGTAATGCTCGTTTAGTTCAAAATTTAGCAACTCTGTTTGGCAAAATTTTAAAAATGAGGATTAAAAACAACTCAAAAAAATTTTCAAATGTTTGAAAGACGTTTTATAACATTCAACTATTTTCAAATGATATGATTCCAATCAATCCATCAAGCTGGCGATTGATAGTAAAGTCCAACAATGTATATCATAATCGAACAAAACTCAGAGTATGTATGATATATAATTGTAATTGTCTCTTGAAAGTTGATAGCAACGATATAAAATTATCACATAGTGGAAAAAAAAATTTGTTTTTGCAATTCATTATATGCATTCCTTGGATGATACAGATTTTTGGAAGAATACTTATCATAAATCATTGATTTATATTAAAACTTTGAAGAACCTGTCTAAGAGATAAACTTAAAAAATATCAAAACAATAAAAAAAGATTGTTAAACCAAACAAAGTTGTGTGTTCACATGATGACTTGTCACAATCAAAAAAAAATTCACTCAAGTCCAAGTATGAGCTACGAGCTTACTTTTGTTTAATACTTCTTGTTTTAAAAAACAAGGAGTATATTTTCATGTATCTGACTGTTGCAGTGTAGAAAGGGATTGACAAGATCATTCTGGAAGATCTTTTCACCCTCCTTGCCACCAAGAACATCATATACTTCAAATACAATCCTTATCACACTTTTGAGTACTTGTCAAAAGACTTGATTATGTTCCTCGCATCTGATAAAGTCCTTGTCATTTACACCAGCCAAACCTTACCTCATCCTGACATCAACAAGGCTAGTTTCAAAGCACTACTACCTTGTTTTTATAGATTTTCTCAACAAATATGGCACGCATGAAACTAAAAGCAATCAAGAATGCGAGTAACATCATTTACACTCAGGATGTCATTGCCTACAATCTCTGCATCTATAAGTCTCTGCATGTACCTCAAGAGTTTTGTGATCATTTTAATAATTTTTGTGGTCATTTTAACATTCATCAAAATTTATCCCTTAGATAGATTTATCTCAGTTTCTATATAAACCAATGATTTATAATCAGTATATTCCACAAACTCTTTGTCATCCCAATACTGCTTAACATTAAACAAAGTAGTGTTAACATTTCAACATAAAAATTATGTACATGAAGATCAAAATATAACTTGTGTATGTTTTCACACGCATGTCATGTTTTGATTGTATTATAAAAATTCAAACTTATTGATGAAACAAGATGAAACATGTCACAAAAGAGTATGAAAGAATCATGATATCATCATGAAGATTTGAAGTTTGGCATTTAACAAACAAAGTATATGAATTTTGCAAGATCAAAAATTAAGCACAATGATTTTATTGAAAAATCATGAGATAATTATTATTGGTCATGTGAAAGTTAAAAATATATTGAAAAGCAAAATTTGAATATATTATTGATTCAAAGTACAGAAGTTTGTAAATTTATATTTCACGTTGTATAGCTTGTCAAGAAAACAAGGTTAATAATGAAAAATCAGTTGCTTTATTATGATATATTTCTATTCTAAAATAAAAAGAAAATGTGACCATAGATATCATATGTGAATTATCAAAATTTTTTGTTAAGAATGATTAAATTGTGAATTTTGTGTACAAAATGACTAGATGATTTATATCAAGTCTATCATAAAAGCTTCACAACTTGTTCAATTGTATCTAAAGGAAATTTTTTAATAAGAGTTTAAAAAAAGTATTAATTATTTATAAAAATACTTATTTCAATAGTTTGTTTTGGTAAATCTTATTTATGTTTTTTAAAACAAAACTAGTATTGTGAACTCTCTATTATTTTTTAATAAATAGTCAAACGTAGAGAGATAATAGCATTATAGATGTATGTTATTTTTGTTCAGATTAGAAAAGAATTAAAAATGATATATTATTTAGGTTTTTTTTGAAATTTGCATATAACAACTCTGTTAATGTGTTCATTTCACTTCATATACAATGCTTATCTTATAGTTTCATCAAGTTTGATGAGTCTTTCAAAAGTAAAATAGGTTTGAATCAAAGTAGTTGTAATGAACAATTATATGAAACATATTCTTAACGGGCTACATCAAGTCAAGAAAAATTTGTTGAAATCTCATTATCCAAAAAACAAGCATGCAGATGTTCATTGCAAATAGTTAATTTTTTATATGTAATGAATCATGTTTTGTTATTTACAACAAATTTGAACTTGTAGATTCATATGTCTTTTTGTGAATTAAAACATGTTGTAAAAATTGGACATTCTGTCACATACATACATCATGTATTTCATGCGTTACAATTGCAAAAACATGTATCAAGATGAAAATAATTCATCAATCAATTAGCATAATTTCTTCTTCCAAACTTGATAGTTATCATGGTGATTTGAGGTAAAAAAATACTCAAAAGTGGATTTGAGGTTATAAATATATTAAAATAGAATATTTGATTTAAAGCAAAGTAAACACATCACATGAATCAACTTACAAAAATATTTAAAACTCTAGCT